ATACTTACAGTGAGTTTATGTTAAATTACAAATTATATTTTATTTATATTTTCGATTTTATTTTGATTTTAAAAATTAAAAATTGTTCACTGCACGCACTTCACTAAAATCAAAAGCAGACTAAATGTATACAATGTAGGCAAAACAAAAAATTCTTAATACTCATATGCTTTCCTTCTTCATTCTTTTATAATTTCAACCCCGAAATTGCCTATGTCGAACACAAATGTCGAAAACAAAGAAAAATAAAAACGAAGAGCTATTACCTCCTCGCTTACTTTTTCAGCGCTGGCATAATGGTGCCAGCGTGGAATCGATTCCCTCAGCGCTGAAAGTCCCGCTGGGCTAAGGCATAGTTTGATGTGTCTGTGGTGAGTATAAATTCTTTAGTAAAATCTGGGTACTGTAGTATTGGCGGACTTACTATTGACGTTCTTAATTTATCAAATGCTAATTTACAATCTTCGGACCAAATGCATTGTTTATTTTTGTTCAAAAGTTCATTTAATGGTTTTGCAATTTTTGCAAAGTCTTTTACAAATCTTCTGTAGTAATTGCAAAATGCTACGATTTGTAATGCTACGATTCGTCTAACTTCATCGGCATTCGTTGATATTGGGTATTCATTTACTGCTTTACATTTATTTGGATCTGTTGTTACACCTTCTTTAGTGATTAAATCTCCTAAGTAAATTATTTCGGGTTTTACAAAGTTGCATTTCTTTGGGTTTAATTTTAAAATGTAGCTTCTTAAGCGTTCAAAGACTTTTATTAGATTTGAGTTGTGATGTTGCAAAGAGCAACCAAAGATAATAATATCGTCTACGTACAAAAATGCACTAGAGTCTAAACCTGAGAGTGCTATTGTAAGCATTCTTTGAAAACTATTGGATGATATTTTTAAACCGAAATGTAATCTTTTGAACTGATAATGTCCATTACTAGTGGAAAATGCTGTTAATGGTCTGGAATCTTTTTCTAACTCTATTTGATGGAATGAACTTGTCATATCCAATGTTGAAAAATATTTAGCTCTTCCTATCCTGTCTAGAACGTCTTCTAATTGTGTAAGTGGAAATTTATCGCTAATTAATTTTTTATTGAGTTGCCTGTGGTCTACTACAAGTCTCCATTGTTTTTTATTATCAGTATTCTGTTTTGGTACGACTAAAAGTGCAGAGTTATATGGATTTGTGGATGGTTCAATAACATTTGTTTTTAATAAATCTTATACTTGATCGTCTATTTTCTGTTGTTGGGATTGTGGAAGTCTTTAATTTTTTATATAAACGGGTGAGTTATCAATTGTTTGTAAATGTTGTTTGTAAAAATTGTTAGTAGTTAATTTGTCTCCTTCAATATGGAATATATCTTGAAAATTCTTGCAAATTTCTTCTATGAATTTGCATGCATTACTGTCTTGATTATCTAATTGAAGTAAATTTTGAGTGTCTTCCAACGCTCATTGGAATGTTTGAGTTTGTTGTTTGAGATTATATTGAAATGTCTTAATGGTATTATTTCTAAATCTGATTTTGAAAATTTTTCAATGCTTTTTTCTTCATTAGAAATATTCAAGATTCTTATATGTTTTATTCCATGTTGTCGAATTATTGTATTTGCAATAAATACATCTTTTATTATTTCTTTATTGCAAATGATACTCTCTTCTGGAATTTCTATTTGAATCGAATGAATTATTTCTGATCTAGGTGGTATTGTGATTCTAAAAATTTTGTTTAATATTGGTAAAATGTATTTAGTTTTATTTGTGTTTATTGAAAAACTGTAAGTCTCGTAGTCAATCTTTGAAAAATATTTATTGAAAAAGTCACGTTCTAAAATACCATCAGTAGGAAGTGGAAATTGGTCACCTACTACTTGAAATTTATGTTTTAAACAATCGTTCAATACTTTGAAATTTAAGTTTGTAGTCCTTAATGTTGTAACTGAATTGTCAGTTATACCTGTAAGTTTACATAATTGTTCCCCTCGTTCCTTTCGTCCCTTCGTCATTTGTACAATGTTATTTAAATATTGACACATCTGCGCCAGTATCTAACAAGAATTTTAATTTTTTATCTGTAGTATTTAGTATAATATAATTGGGTATTGATTTTCATTATTTATCCCCGCGTATCCTACTCTGTAGTTTCTCTGTGGATAGCGAGGCTGTGCTCGTTTTTCTGTTCTGTGTTCGTGACACGTATCCTATTCTTCCTTGTGTCTGTTCCTCTATTATTTTGTTGGCTATAGTTATTCAACCGTTGGTAATTATTTGATCGTTGGTAATTATTTGATCGTTGTTGTCCAAACTGTTGATAGTTGTACTTTTGAGGCTAATTAGGTCTAAATGAACTAGTTTGTTGATTACCTCCATTCCTTTGATTCCTATTTTGATTATTTCTATAACTGTTCCTATTTTGGTTAAATCGTTGATTATTTTGCCATCTCGTGTTTTGATTATTTTGTGCACGGTAGTGCATCACACTGTGTGGTTGTGGATTATCTATACTTGATGCTATTTTAATTGCATGAATTAATTTTGTTGGTTGAGCTGCTATTACTACGAATCTAAATGGTTCTGATAAGCCTTTTTTAAAAGTGTTCAATCCAGTTTCATCATTTATGGACAATATAAGCGCTTTGCTCTGTTCTCCTCGTTCAGTTATCTGTATGTCATTTAGAGTTGCTATCAGGGATTCTATTTTGGAAGCATATGAGTTTATGCTCATATTACCTTGGTATAATCTTGAAAGTTCTCCTTGAATATGTGCTGTATTTTTCTTTGGTTTGTATGCGTTATTTAATACTTGTTTCAACGCTATGAGTGTAGATGGGTTTACAACATAAATATTCTGTTTCTAACTTTTCAGTTATTCTTGACGCTAGGTCAAACTTAATCAGGGATTCTCTGTCGGATTCTTTAAGGGCATCATGATAAAATTCTATCATGCCAAGAAAACTAGGTAGTGATTGTTGTTCACCATTGAATTGGGGTATTATTTTTTAAGCTGTTGAAATATCAAAATTAGCCATGTCTGCTTTTTGCTTGAGATATTTTTCTACATTTTTCTTCAAGCTATCAAATGCTTGAAATGCTTATAAGTTTCTGAATTAGACTCTTTTATTAGAGGCAAATATTTTAGCCAAATGCTTTCTAACTCTTCTCTCGGATTTTTTCTTTCTAATATGTGTTTAGCTTCAGCAAATTCCATATATATTTATTAATAGTTTATAAAAAAAAATTTTTTTTTTGTTTTTTGTTCTTTAAAGATATAATCATAATTTATAATAGTTTATAATTTATTATGTTTTTTATTTTAGTGTTTATTTAATTTTCTACTTGTTTGCTAACTTTTATCACAAACAAAACAATTAGAGTTATTCACTATTTATATAAAAAGAAATTTTAATTTTTAAACACATATACACATATAAAAATAACAATAGAATACATATGAAATATAAGAGTGTGGTGAAATCAGCTTACTCGTTGTTGCTGTTACTGTTGTTATTGTTGTTGTTGTTGGTGTTATTTATCATCTCTACTTTTGTGCGTTAACTGCCCATTCCCTGTCTCTCTTACTCTTCTTTTATTGACAGTTGATTTTCTGAGAATGTAGCAAGATTAAGTTCTCTATACAGGATTGCTAGTTTTGCTTCCTTCTGTTATACTGCTGTCCACCGCGTTTTCTCTTTAGCTTTGGTGGTCTCTTCGGTACTGGTGCTGCGTCAGTCTTCCGTTGCCTCGCCTTATACTGTTCAATAGTTATAGATTTCGGGCCAGCTATTTTATCTATTGGTATATATTTTGGAGCTGCAACAGGAAGATCATCTATTCTTTGAGGCATATATTCTTCAACCTCGTCGAAAATGTTTATAAACGTTTCCCAAACCTGGAAGATATTTCTCGATTCCTCCAGCAGAGACATACAAAACTGATGTATGTTGTTTATGTATTTAATAAAAATGGATAAGTTGTTGTAAAATGGAGAGAAAGAAAAAGAAAAATTTTCTAATCTTTCCTTGGGTAGATGGCTCGACTTCGATTAAGTTCGATTGGTCAGGATCGCCATGTAATAATAAATTTGTTTGTATATAAATTTACTTTATTTTTTAGTTCTGGATTGCTTCAAGATTATTTTAGGAATCAGATTTTTTTCGATATTATTCATTTCTTCTTCTTTAATTTAAGCAGGAGGAAATCTGCTCATATGTCGGCATTAGAGAATTCCGAGACAAAAATAATTGCAAAAATTTGGTTTAAGCTGTTCGAGCTCAGTTTCAATTCTGGATTTTAATAATGCTTTTCCAAACTATTTGTATAAAATATTTTACTGTAGCTTACAATTATTTTTCTTAATAATTTTAATTGCAGCGGCACTAAAAAGGTTGTCCCACATCACAATGCTTAGAAAATATTATGACACATTCAAGTGTATCATATAGACATATGTAGAATAGTAGCACAGAAAAGAAAAGTGTCAAATAGCAATTGCATACTTGGTATGACCAAGCATTCTACTTGCATTGTGGTGGTTCTTCCGTGTGCGATCGCATTACATATTACATTAGTTAAAAATGGGTTGCTATAAAATAATTTGTCCAAAGGCAGTTTTTTTAAGAATAAAATAAAATAATTTATTGTTTATTTTTGTTTACATTTGAATTGAATGTTGCGCTATACACAACACCAGGATAATTCCTAAATATTTATTTCTTTCTTTAGGGATACCTCTATCTTGTTTATTGTTAGTGTGGGGATATCAAACGCCCTTTTACTGGTATATGGTATAATGGTTGTTTTGGTAGGATTAATTGATAGTCCTTCTTTCCTACACCACTCATGTTGTGTTAAGAGCATCCTGCATTAAGTCCCTGATAGTCCTTTCATGGTTGCCTGTAATGATTACTGATATGTGATCTGCATATCCAATCGTTTTATACCCTTTGGTGTTGAGGAGTTGTACTAAGCACCATAACAATGGTGAGAGTACTCAACCTTGCGGGCATCCTCTTATTGCTGCAACATTAAGATTGACTTGTCCTAAAGTGGCTGTGATCTTTCTTTGATTTAGCATATTGCTTACCCATTTTACTATTGCTAGATCTGATTCTCTATTGGAGAGTGATAGTTCTATTGTTTTAAAATTTGCGTTATTGAAGACCCCCTCAATGTCCATAAATGCACCGAGGGCTGCTTTCTTTAAATTTAGTGCCTTTTCAATAATTTGAACAATTGAATGAAGGGCCATGACTGTAGATTTGCCTTTTTGGTATGCAAATTGTAACTTGTTTAGCGGATTGTTGGAAACAACCTTTTCTCTTAGATAGCAGTCGCGTATCTTTTCCATGGTTTTCAGCATGAAAGACGTTAAACTGATTGGTCTGTAGGATTTAATAGATTCAAGGGGTTTATTTCCTAGCGCCTCTTGATCAATGTCACTGGTTGCGTTGAGTCGATAATCAGGGAAATGAGTTACCAGAAGAAGCTCTAGTGTATCGACAAAGGAATTTGTGAAGGTTCCATGCGGTGTCTTTAGTACACTAATTGGATTAATAACCGCTTGGATAGTGACTTTTATATTCTAGCAGTTTTCGTGACATCTTTAAGTTCCTCACAGAAGTTTTTTCAAGAGTTCTTTTTTGATTTCCTTAGTTCCTTGTTGCATAATGTTAGAGATTTCCTATATTCTTACCATGTATTGTATTTCTTTGCGTCGTTAAATTTGGATCTTACCATTTTAATCAACTTGGCAAGTTCTCTATTCCACCAGGGAACCCTTTTTGTTGAGGGTTTTGTTTTGACTGGACTACATTCGTGATATGAAGATATTATGGAGTCGGTCAAAATTTTAACTGATGTATCCAGTTCCTCTATTGATTTTAAGGGAAGCATTATTCTGGTTAGTTTAGATTCTAAACAGTCTGGGTATTTCTTCCAGTTTGTTGTTTTAGGGCTTCTATAGAGCACTACGCTTTTACTTAACCCTCTTATTTCAAATAGTATGTGTTTGTGATGTGACATTGAGTCCTCATCAGAGACTCTCCAGTTAGTGATCAGATCGAGTGAGTTATTGATTATGAGTGTCAAATCAAGAACCTTTTGCCGTAATACATTCTCAAAGGTTGGTTTATTTCCTCTGTTTGCAATAGCTATGTAAG